GTTAAGTTAAATTTTGAGCCCCTAAGGACATTCCCCATAGTTCATTGTGTTTACATACAAATTTTGATTGAGATTGGTCCAATAAGCTTAGAGGAGTTAGGGTACAAACAAACACACATTTCGTCTTTATATATATAGATCTATATATTATATATATCTATAATATCTATATATTATCTGAGCTATAAATGTTTATTTAAGTACCAGCAGTTGTTTTCTACGACCATATTACTGATATGGGATAAGATAATTTAACATGAGTATATTATTTTTTCATCGCTTTTTAAAATGCAAATTACTGATCAAACATTTATAGAACCAGACTTGCATAGCTTGTACTATAATAACCTGTGGGAAACAAGACCAAAGTTTGAATAATTATATTTTTGTTTTGTGTACCAACATTTGTTCATTTATTAAATAATACATGGTCTTTTGGAATAATTTAATCCTCATTTTACCCTTTTTTTAATTTATACACCTGTTTTTCTCTAGGGAGCATACACACCTCGTCATGTCTACACTCAGGAGGACGTGAAAGAGATCATTGAATATGCTAGGCTGCGGGGTATAAGAGTTATTCCTGAATTTGATACTCCAGGTCACACTCAAGGACTTGCTAAAGCATTTCCTCGTAAGCATTTATTTAATTTTGTGCTTTAGTTTAAAATACAGAAATTAGATATATATTTTTACTTTCTGTAGTGTGGATTATCATAAATAAAAGTATTAAAAGTTTTTACTCCTTTATGATCAGTTTTAAGAAAGTTATTTTATTTGTTTAATTAAGATTATAGTGCCTGGTATAGTCTGGTGGTTATGGTGCTTGACTTAGAACCTGTAGGTCAGAGGATTGAAACCCATTGCCAAACATGCTTGCACTTTCAGTTGTGGGACCATTATAATGTGATGGTCAATCTCACTTATCATTGGTAAAAGTAACCCAAGAGTTGGTGATGGGTGGTGTTGGCAAGCTGCTTTCCCTTTAGTTTATCATTTCAAAATTAGGGATGGTTAGCAAGAGCTGGGCAATTAACTTGATTACCTATGAGTATCAATTAGTGTCACATAAATTAATTGATTAATCAAAATTGCAATTAGATCAATTAACAACATAAACATGATCAACTAATGGAAATTAATGTTTACGATTATTACTGTTTTTGATTGTTCCAACTACCCAATATATCTAAATATTTGGGCATTTTGATTTCTCTATTTTATTTCTGATTAAAGCATGGTTATTCAGCTTAATGAATTAGTCTTGCAACTGATGAAGTTAATAATTTACTCAGAATTAGCATTTCCAATTATCACTATTTTTGATTATTCTTCTGATAATAATTGATTAGTTGAAAATAACAAACTAATGAGTCTGATGATTCATTGATTGATTATCAAGTATGACTAATTACCCATATATATGGTTAGTGCGTATAGCTCTCGCGTAAATTTGTGCAGAAATTTAAAACACAAAAGAAACTACAACCAGTGATTGTCTTTTAACTTTTTCTGATTTATCACAATTTTTTAATTAACCAGTAAATATATGAAAGGCAAAATAAGTTTACTTGTTTCTGTGCATTACAGTGAAGCAGATAAGCTAACCATTTATCTAAGTTCCAGTTTTTTTTATTTTTATGTGATTACTTATTTTTTTGTAATTACTTTTTCTATAAACCAGCCACTTTATATTCTTTCATGATGAAAAATTTCTAGCTTTCCAGCTTAATGTAGCACTTTGCCTGGAATTGTACTTATTTGCTTGTTATGGTTCGAGGACTAACTGTCATCTAATCTTGCTTGGAGACGGCTTGAATGGGTAATGAAGAAAAACTTTAATACAAGTTTAACATAACAGAAAATGTACAATTTGATGACAAAACCTTGTCGAAACATTGTACATTTACTGTTATG